TTCATTAATTAGATGTACAATCTTCTTGAGGATAAACTCTACAAATGTCTTGTATAAAGGCATCAAAAAGGCTACTTTTATCAGAATATAATGTTCTCCACATGTATTCACACAAATGCTTGTCAAAGCCATGCCCCAATTTTTCTAATATGCCCCTTAAAATAAACCCTTTTCAGAATCTTTTTTATCCAGGCAATTCTACAATTTCTGGGTAGGGGTGCCATTTGGAACTCTTTCCAAATAATCATGGTTGTGGGAAGCTGGTTTATAATCTTATGGTTTTTGTGCTTTGTTCTTTATGTCCAGTGTCAACAGCTGACTGATGTATTTGTTAGAGTCAAAAAGTACGAATTTTATGTTAAATCATTTCAACTGGAAAAAACATCTTATATATCTATTTTAAATTGTATTTAACTTCTATGGATAAATTTCAAAATATATTTTATGTTATTTTATGAGACAAAATATTTAATTAAGAAAGATTTAGAAATAAGTTTAATGCTATATTACACTGGGGAAAGATAAATGATGGATTTTCTTTCCCCACGAAAGGAGGTATGAAATTATTACATTGTAAAACTCAAGACTTATGAGTCATGGTTCTTCGTGTTTCAGCTTTACTACCAATGACAACGTAGATGACCAAAGTAAATAAAATGTGAAAGACACACTGTGTCAATGTGCGTTTTGTTGTTATATACAATCTTCCTGATATGAGTGATACAAGTAGTATAATTACATTACTATTACTTGAATATATATATGCTACTTTTCTTTTGTTCGTTATTAAACAAAATAAATGTTAATATTAGGCTTAAGCCTTAACGGTAACCGACCTCTTCTCTTCTTTTCAGCCACCGACCACAAGGACTTTCCTCTAAAATTTCACTTTCGTCTTCAGAATCATCCCCACTTTCTTTTGTGTTTTTCACATCTTCTTTATTACCACCTTTGCTGCCCAGAGAATCCTGCATCTTGGAATGTTACTAACTACACTCTTCGATTTTTGTTAAGTCTCAACACCCAACTAAGTCAAGTTAGTGTAAAAAAACAACCATGACTCATATTTTGATAAATACACTCGGACCTAAAATCATTCGTCACAACACCTAGCGACAATGAACGAACTATGTTAAAATTTGTGCAAGTTTCAAAAAATAAAAATGTAGTAAGTTTACTTGTTTGAAGTAGCAATAGTATACCCCAATGATACAAAACAACAAAAAGAAACTGAGATAAGAAATGGAAAAGTAGAGTTTCTTTTTCGACAGTGGCTTTTTCAGGTGACACGTTTTCAGCAGCGTCATTTGTTCCGTTGTTCACTTCATCCCAACTGAAATGTCCTGGACCATGATATCGCCAAAGCCTATTGCCATGCACCACCTTTGGCTTACCTCGCCGACCACATTTTATCCGGAGGGTCGCGTATGAGAGACGATCTGCTATGTCATATGGGCCT